GGTGAACACCCTCACCTGCCTGATGGGGTCCCACCCCATAACGCGTCAGCCCACGGCCTCCAAAATGGCCTTGCCCCAGGCTGCTTCCTAGCCACCCTCCCGTTTGCTGCCTCCTCCTCCGGTGCGCCGTCCCTTACCTCCTCCTGGGTGTTCCGCTGGTGTTCTCCTGGTCTCTCCCCTGGTGAGGGGGTTGGCCGTTGCCACTGCGGAGGGAGGAACTGCCTCGACCGTTTCCCCCTCCTCTGGCTCCCTTGGAGGCTGCTTTTGAGCCTCCCGCCAGAGGCTGCGTCCTCGGGCCCGCCCCCACGCCCGGCGTCCTGCTGGCGGGACACCTGGGTGGAGGCCCCGTCCCTGCAGCTCAGGCCAGTAGCGCACTCGCCCAACCTCCTTGCATCAGCCCCCGCCGCCCAGTCCCCATGCCCCAGGGACTCGCGGGGCTGCCCTTCCAGGCTGGCTGCCCCCGGCGCAGCCCTCCCCGCGGCGATCGCTGGTGCTGTCCGCCTGTCGGCGCGAGTGCGGGCCACTACCAGCCCGTCACAGTCCCACAGCTGGTACTAACAAGCTCTGCAGCTGGTCGTCTCAGAAAGGCCAAGACCTGCATTGTCCATGAGAATGAATCACCTTCATTCTCCTCCAGAAAAGGGTCACCGATCGCACGTATTATTATTTGTTATTTGCATCAGAACAGCTCCCAGGAGCCTACGTCACGAACCACGGCTCCATTGCGTCAGGCGCTGTACAAATACAACCCAAAGGTGGCCCTCGGGCCAAAGAACTGACATGACCCAATGGGTGTCAGTCGATGCCTACGTAGCCACTGACCAGGATGGACACACCCTTGGGAAAACAAAAGACCTCCCTGTCCAAGCCTGTCACCTTTCATGAGCACACCACCAAGTCCACCAGGGCTTCTAAAAGCGTGTTTGTCATAACTGATTTGTCAGCACTGCCTTGCTTCTGGGTTTTTGCTTCCAGACCATTGAGACCATGGTTGGGAATGAAAATAGCATTTAAAGAACAATATTTTCAAAGTAGAAAACATGAAAAGACAGTTTGTTTTGCCCCTTGGGGCCGGCTTGGCAGCCCAGCCTCTGACTTTAGGACACACAGAAGTCCGTCTCTGCAAAAGTGAGCTCATGGCCGGTTCGACACTCAGGCACCTGGCTACCTAATTTGCACATTCAAATGGCTCTTTGCTTGCACAAAATACAAACAGGGAAACCTATGGCTTGCACAGTCGTAAACAGCCGTGCAAAACAAGAGGCTGCTGTTGGAATGGTCATAGCATCAGGGAATCACAGGATTGGAAGAGACCTCAGGCGGTTGCTTGAACGATTGTTTTACCAGTATAGAGGGGTATCATTTCATACAAGATGACTGAGTGGAGTCTGAGCTGAGCCTGAGAGGTAATCGAGTTACCCGAGTCGCACGAAGATGCCGGTACTGTAGGTTTAAATCTATAGCAGAGAGCCAGGCAGAGTGCAGGGGTGGGGATAGGTCTCAGGAGAAATTATACTGGGAAGCAGGCAGAATCGAAATAGCTTTCAGAAATTTTCAGTAGTCTAATGAAGTTCCTTGTTCCTTGCCTAAAGAATCTGACTCTGATTCTTCACCACTGTCTCCCTGCAAAAGACAGCGCTGGCTGAAATCGGAGACAGCACTAGGCAGTCTTTCTATTTGTGTCACACGCTCAGTCAGCGCTCCATTGTCCTAATCAGACACACTCCGTCTGCGGGCAACCTGGAGCTTCATCTTGGCTGCGTAGCAAAAAGTCGGACACGGTGCCACACGCGCTCAGCCGCACGGCAAGTAATCAGGACAAATGGCAGCGGAGTGAATGAATCGGAGGGCAGGCCCAAGTAATGCCAGACCTCTGAGTTCTCCACCGCAGGCTTCCTGCCCTCAAAGGCAAAGCACCACTGCGCCAACAGATGTTTTTGCCCGGCTTGGAGGGTTGCAAATGGAGTTCAAAAGGGATTACATAGCAGGGAGGCTGTGGATGTCTTGTACCTCATGTGCCCAGATGTGCTTCCCTCATAATTTATGAACACAATTAAAATGCATCATTCTTGTGCGCAAACACGAACACACACAACTGCACTCACTTATCTGGAAAAGAAAATCCCAGGAGTCATTTCTTCACTACCCGGGCAGCAGCTCCCTGGCTCTCAACCTAGGGGAGAGCAGCTGGAGGCAATACATTAAAACATGAATAGTCACAGAGCCATTGTTGTGCCTGGAGCATGGGGTGGCAGGACGTGTGACTTTCACTACCTGGGCAGCAGCTCCCTGGCTCTCAACCTAGGGGAGAGCAGCTGGAGGCAATACATTAAAACATGAATAGTCACAGAGCCATTGTTGTGCCTGGAGCATGGGGTGGCAGGATGTGTGAAGCTACTGCCCTGAGCCAGGGTGTGTGTGAACTAGCGAGTGTTGGTGCGTGCAAAGGTGCTGCGTGTTAGTGCTTCTGGAAATAAAGGGCGAACAGAGTTAGGGACAGGAGGCAGCGTTGGCCTCCTGTACCCGCGTCCTGACATGGTTCCATACACCGTAGCTGCAGCATTACCTGCTCTCCAAATTGGGGAGACAGACAGATGCACGCCGGGTCAGCTTCCGGCTGAGTATGCAGGAAGGCGCTTTACCCCGAGAGTTTCTTCCTGCCCTCCCGTCCAGGAAGACTCAGCTCTGTGATGATTAAATGACAAACCCCTGGATTGTTTCAGTGCTGCTCTGTACCACCATCGCATATCCATCGCTACAGGTGTCCGGCTGAGCTATGCCGAAGTGACGCCAAACCTCTGAGAGTCGGCGCGTTGTCTGCACGCTTGCTACGGAGGACTGAGGTTTCAGGGAAAGTCGGCCATTCCTTCTCCTCTAACATCTCCAAGTCACTGGGAAGGGTGTTGTTATTAGCAGTACAGTAGCACCCAGTTGTTACCTGGGCTTGGAGCCCAGTTGTGCCAGGCGCTGTACAAACTACGGGTACTTTACAGTCTACGGTCTGGAGCGCATTTTGAGAAACTCTGGTGCCTGGGTGACAAGTGTCCCTCATGGTAGGGAGAAGTCAGAATTCGTTGTCTATAGGCTTTAGAAATGTGCTTCTGGCCTGCTGGCTGCTGATTGTGAGTCTGTGTCTCCTCCTGAATGGTAAGAGCGAGGGCACCCGCATTTGGTATGGCCCTGTCATAACTGAAAGCAAGGTCAGGGTTTGGTTGTGCCACGAAAACGGGACGTGCCAGGAATGGCTCTGTTTTCCATAGCATGGAGGGGGGGAGAGAGAAGAGCAACAGGAAAGGGCGGAGCACGGAGCGGAGGCGTGCAACACTGAGAGTGTCCACCAGGGGCAGCTGCACCCCAAGGGAGTAGCCAGGAGGGCTGGACTCTGCTGTCTTGCCTGTCACGAGACATGGCATGTAGCCCCTCCCCACCAGCCACAGACAGGGGAGAGACTCCTGGCAGCTGGGGGTCTGTGGGAAGAGAGAGCCCCTGGTGGCCAGGGGAGTCTTGGGGCTCCACCAGCCAGGAGGGAGAGAAAGCCCCCCAGATGGGACCCTCCTCCCTGAGCCCCTCCACACCCCCCACTCTCGTATCCCGCATGCCCCCAGCTTGATGCCCTGCCACCCCCTTGTAATGCTATAAAGGGGATTCTTTACTCATATGAGGCCACCAGATACAAGCCAACCCAAATTCCTGTTGCCAAACTAACTACACTCCCCACCGGGCATGTCTACATGAGGAAACTACTTCGAAACCCAAATTCCTGTTGCCAAACTAACTACACCCCCCACCGGGCATGTCTACATGAGCAAATTATTTCGAAGTAACTAAAAATCAATTTAATAACTCCCAAAGTAACAACATCGAAATAGCGTGTCCACACGACGGGCACGGCTCGAAATGAGTCCGAGGCAGGCTCCATTACCGTGGACGTGCTACCTCGACGTAGAGTCCTAGGAAGCACTGGGGAGTAATTAGTTCAAATTACTCTGAGGCGTCGTTATGTTGAAATAGCGGCACCGGGGCGTTCACGCTGCCGCTATTGCGAAATAACTAGCTCGGAATGAGTGTTATTCCTCAAGGAAAGCAGAAGTACAGATTTCAAAATAAGCGGCCCATTATTTCGAAATAATGGGCTTGGTATTTCTAAATAAAGCCCTAGCGTAAACCAGAGCACAGGGTCCACATCCAGACAGCAGAGTTCAGGGCTAAATATGGGGACCAACATCTAACCCTGCTCTCAGACTACAATAAAGTTCGACTTCCTCTTAATCTAGTGTAAAGTGGTGTAGGGTTACCGTTTCAGATCTGTCCTCAAGCAAAGTTACTAATCTGAACATATTTTAGCATTGTACCTATCTTGAGGGTGTGTCTAGACTAAAGGGTTATTTTTAAAAAGTGGCTTTTTTTCGAAAAAACGATACCTGCGTCTAGACTACTGCCACGTTCTGTCAACCATAAATCGACAGAAGGTGGCAGTTTTGTTGACGGTGGTAAACCTCGTTCTATGAGGAATAATGCCTTTTCTCGAAAGTCATCTTTCGAAAAAATGGCGCTATTGCATGAAAACGGGTTTTTCGAAAGAGAGTGACTAGACTCTCTTTTGAAAAAGCGAGTTGCTTTTTTGAAAAATCTTCTTGTTGTCTAGCCTCTCTTTTTCGACAGAGGCTTTTTCGAAAGATACTGTTGAAAAAACCTCGGTCAAAAAAGGCGAGCAGTCTAGACATAGCCTTACTGTTGCGGTGGTAGGCACAAATATAAATCAATGAAGTAAAGAAATGAGGAGAGAAAGCAGCTTTGCCTCATTTCAGAAGTGACAGGCTCTGAACAGACCCAGGGTTGTTTCTTCTTTCTGCCATTGATGGTGTCCCAAACGCTTTGGCGCTTAGAAAAAAGAGACTGACCTTCAAAATGTCATTGCTTGGATATCACAGCCCCCCCCCCCCCCCCCCACACGCTAGAAACACCCCTTTTCAGATTTAAACCTCATGGAGAAAACTTACCACAGTCATTCATTCATCAGTCGTTCCAGAGGGATTTCCTCAGTGCCGAAGGCTAATGCCACTCAAAGTTTCCTGCGGGGAGGCAAGCAAAAGGCTGTGAAATTTCTATTCTGCTGGCTAGAGGGAGCTCCTTCCTCCAAGAATCTTCAGACATAATCTGGCCTGAAAATTCACTTTATTCTGAGCCTTTGGACTAGGGTTACCAGATAGTTTCACCAAAAATACCAGACGACCCCTTGGTTTTGCGCAAGAAAGCCCCGATCGCCATTTTTGCCATCAGGGCTTTTTTGCGCAAAACAGTTTTTAGCTGTCTACACTGGCCCTCTTGCGCAAAAACATTTCCTGAAAAGGGCTTTTGCCTGAACGGGAATGTCAAAGCATTTGCGCAAGAAGCACTGATTTCGGACAGTAGAACGTCCGTGCTTTTGCGCAAAATCAAGCGGCCAGTGTAGACAGCTGGCAAGTTTTTGCGCAAAAGCGCTTGCTTTTGCAGAAAAACTTGCCAGTCTAGACGCAGCCCTTGTGCTTTCGCTTCAGCAGAGCCTCTGTGCTGGACTTTCTCACTGGCTGTAACATTCCTTGTGTTCCTGACTTCTGGGAAATCCCACGGCATTTCCATGGCACAAAGACTCAGCCATAGCTGCTGCAGCAGAGTTAACAGGGCCCACACTTACTATGGGTCTAGCTCAAAGGCAGCCCCTGTGCCCCGCTGTTGCCATCTCTGGAGGGCAATGGGGACTAAGGGAGGGGATCTGAATATGAATGGAGCAGGGGTGGGCAGTAATTTTTGAAGGGGGGTCACTTTGTGAATTTCAGAAGTGGCTTCAGGCCACCCCAGAAGGGGTGTGGCCTCGGGAAGGAGGGGTGTAGCCTCTGGCAGAAGGGGCGGACATTGAGCAGAATGGGCGGGGCCAGGAGACTTCACATGCACCCCCACCCCCAGATCCTGATTGGCCTGGGGGCAGGAAAGTGCGTGAAGTCTTTGTCCTCCAACCCCCGCCCTGCCAAGGGCACATGGCTCTTAGAGACAACCACCAGCTGTTTTGAACAGCTGGCAGGGCCCTCTAGGCACCGGGCAACCCGGCATGGGGAGGAGACTTTGTGCGCTCCCCTGTTCCCAAGTCTCCATTGGTCTGAGGGGCGAGGGGACAGCAGGGTGGCTGCGGGCCAGATCAATCAGCTTGGTGGGCTGGATGAGGCCTGGGTAGACTGTCTGCCCAACCCTGCATTGGAGTGTAGCCTCGGTATTATGGAAGAGTTAATAAAAGAAAGAAAAACTCCCTGTCCTTGTTGGCTGTGTCTTTCCCTTCCTCCCGTCTCTCACTCCTTATTACCCGCAACAGCTGCTCTTGGATCTCAGCTCATGAGCCTCAATCCCTGTGTAAATGAGAACAGACCCTGACTTCCCTTGGGCCTGTACCTTTTCTACTGCTCGTAGGGTCACTCCCCCACTGAATCAGGACATCCCGGACGATGCCGTGTGCCCCGGCAGCCCCAGCAGAACCAAAAATAAAGTCCCACTCCAGCAGTGCTCTTCCGTTCAGAAAAACAAACAGCCCACCACAACGACCAGCCTTAAGACAGCTCCCCTGGGGATGCCCCAGACAAGCACATGTGAGGCTCCGTGGCAGGAGCCGGAAGCAAAGCGACGGAGGGATGAGCTCCAGCTTGGAAGTTTCAGCAGGGAGGGGCATTTGATGCAACGACCGGCTAGAAAAGGCTACCAGAAAAGGGCCGTGTGCTCATCCGAAAAGGGTTCAGGTAGGGCCAGCCCACAACATTCTGGCACCTGAGGTGGGGAGCTCAAATGACGCCCCCTCGCTTGGGCCAAAACTTTGAAAGGTCTCAATTTTCTGGGTCCTAGTGGCACCCCCTCACAGCCGGGCACCTGAGGCGGCTGCCTCAGTTCACCTCAGGGTAAGGCCAGCCCTGGGCTCCGGGATACAAGCGGCCCGATTGTAGGCAATTCGGCTGAACTGCTTCTCCAGAGCACTCACCCTGCTGCTCAATCCAGAATGGAAATGCCTCAGGGGCCCTCTGAGTCTGCAATTCCTTTCCAGCGGTTTTATTTTGCTGCAGGGCAGCGTCACCCGCGGGCGAGCGGACGTGGGGGAAACACAAAGCGGCTCCGACTCCCTCCCACCGTCTTGCCAGAGAGAAAATAAATACAAAATAATAAGGGGGCCGCTGACAAGCCCTCGGCTCATGCTGTGCGCGGGAGGTTAGCCTGAATGAAAAGCATTGGTGGGAACACAGAGAACAGCCGGGATGCGGTGACAGGAAGGACAGATTACCTCAGCCTCTGAAGGATCAGGGCAAAGCTGGCGGGCGACTTGGAGAGAGTCTCCTATTGCAATGTAGGGCAAGTCACTTGGGGGCTGTTGTTTGTTGCTCTGCAATTGCTCCTCCCCGTGTTCCACAGCACGGACGTGCGTGCGCCCTGCTTTCAACGCCTCCTGGGCTACTGGGCAAATTGATCGCCAGAAATGATGTCAGCCCGAGCAGCTGCAAGGTACCCCGGATGTTTACCTGCATGGCCGGTCCCTTTAAATCGAGAGTGCTACTTTTCGCTTGATTTGGGTTGAAGCCTCCTAATGTGCAGTAATTTAAACTAATTTAAACAATAATTAAAGAGGGAGCATTGGCTCTTACCCTGCAAAGGGTCGTGCAAGCGTGGAACCCGGCTGCAAGCAAAGCTCTAAGATGTCAGTAGAAGAGTGGTCCACATAGTAGCTCCTTCTGTAAATTTGGGTTCATAGAGGAATTTTCCCTTTACTTTAAGGGGATCAGGCCCCATTTCTTGCATACGCTTTTCACAACTTTCCTCTACCCTGCCAGGGGAATAAAGGAAAAATATCACTCCATTGCCACTTCTAGGTCATCAAACATAAAAACGGCCATACTAGGTCAGACCAAAGGTCCATCTAGCCCAGTGTCCTGTCTGACGACAGTGGCCAATGCCAGGTGCCCCAGAGGGAATGAACACAACAGGTAATCCTCACGTGATCCCTCTCCTGTCATCCATTTCCAGACAAACAGAAGCTAGGGACAAACAGAGGCTAATAGCCATCGATGGACCGAATCTCCATGAATTTATCTAGCTCTTTTTTGAACCCTGTTAAAGTCCTAGTCTTTACAACATCCTCTGACAAGGAGTTCCACAGGTTGTGCTGCATGAAGAAAATCTTCCTTTTGTTTTAAACCGTCTACATATTAATTTCATTTGGTGACCCTTAATTCTTACATTATGTGAACAAGTAAGTAACTTTTTCTTATTCACTTTTTTCACACTAGTAATGATTTTATAGACCTCTATCATATCCCCCCTTCGTCTCCTCTTTTCTAAAATGAAAAGTCCAAGTGCTTTTAATTTCTCTTCATATGAGACCCTTTCCAAACCTCTCATCACTTCTGTTGCCCTTTTCTGAACCTTTTCCAATGCCAAGATACCTTTTTTGAGATGAGGTGACCACATCTGTACGCAGTATTCAAGATATAGGCGTACCATGGATTTATATAGAGGCAATAAGATAGTCTCTGTCTTATTCTCTATCCCTTTTGTAATGATTCCTAATACTCAGTTTGCTTTTTTGACGGCTGCTGCACATGGAGTGGATGTTTTCAGAGAACTATCCACAATGACTTCAAGATCTCTTTCTTGAGTAGTTGTAGCTAAATTAGTCCCCATCATATTGTATGCGTAGTTGGGATTATTTTCTCCAATGTGGTTTACTTTACATCAATCAACATTAAATTTAATTTGCCATTTTGTTGTCCAATGTCACTTGGTTTGGTCAGATCTTTTTCAAACGGTTCACAGTCTGCTTTAGTCTTAACTATCTTTAAACACTGGAATAAATTGCCCAGGGAGGTTGTGGAATCCCCATCTGTGGAGATATTTAAGAGTAGGTTGGATAAATGTCTATCAGGGATGGTCTAGACAGTACTTGGTCCTGCCACGAGGGCAGGGGGCTGGACTCGATGACCTCTCGAGGTCCCTTCCAGTCCTAGTATTCTATGATTCTATGATCTTGAGCAGTTTGACTTTCATCATCGAAAGGAAAAGTGGTTATAATTAATTGGATCAGGATTGGAGGGTCTACATGACATGTGAGGAGAGGGCTTGTTCGAAATAGTTGACAACCCACCTTCTGAGTGCTGGTATAATTGAAATAATGCCACACTGGTGTATCTAACGCCACACTGGTAACAGCGTAGAATCCTTACTCTGACTTCTAGCTGGTATCAGTCCAAAAGTCCTGCCAGGAGGGCAGGCGTCTGGATTCAATGACCTTTCAAGGTCCCTTCCAGTTCTATGAGATAGGCATATCTCCATATATTATTATTATTTTTTATTATCAAGTCCAGGGAGTTGCTCCAGTGTAACAACTAAAAGCAAGATCAAACCCATGGCATGCACAACCCTGGTGTGAATCCGGAGTCACTCCGCAGGTGTCACAAAATTGATTCCGTGGCTGACTGGGTGTGCGTGGAGGAGTGACGCAAGAAATCCCAATCGCAAAGCCATGGAAAGGCCTCTTTGACTTGTTCATGGCAGGTGTCTCAGCCGCGCGACCCCAACGCATGCTAACTAATGACCTCGTCAGCTGCCTCAGCTGAGAGGCCAATTGCTGAACCAACCATGGAGACTGAAGTTCCACCTCATATCTAGAGGTGGCCTCTGCAGGTCAAGTTTGAGGCCGATTAGTAAGGAGGGACCTAGGATTACCTCGCACTGTGGCAGCTGATGTAGTGCCCAGAGGATCTCAGACCTGAGAGCCCTCAGAGGAACGCTTCCCACCACCACTAAATGAATTTAACTGAGCAAACCCTAGGAGACATCAGCCAGGGGTGGGGGAGGTGGACAACGTTCACCGGCAGGCCCTGAGGTGGCATGCTGTTCCGTTGGGATCTGCTCACCGCCACAGACTTAGAAACCGGTGATAAGGCAGCGACAAGGAAGAACAATGTAAACTTTTTCCTCCTGCAGAGACAGGCAAAGAAAATAGTGAGGGAGAGTAAAATAAAGTGAGGGGGTTTCTGCCAGGGCAACAGTAAAGTGAGAGGAGCCAGGACTCCTCTATTACACTTCACCTCAGATTCAGAGACGGCCTCCTCCCGAGATGTGCCTAGTGAATGCTTTGGCGATAGGTCGACATGGAACCTCCCTTCCCTGGAATGAAGAACGACAGCATCCCACCAGCAAACGCAGCTCATAAAAGAGCGCTTGTAATATCCGCCGACAGAGCACAACCAGTCACAACCCATCTCCCTTCTTTTGCTGCGTTATACGCAGGTCAGACACGTTCTGACAAAGCGGCCCCGCGCATCCCTCCCTCTTTCCCGCTGAGACATTATCACACAGGAGAAGTGGCTGGCAAGGGAGCCCGGCACCCAAGACACAAGCAAGACCGTTGCGACGGGGGGCCCGCCTCCTGGAAAGGCTATTTCCATGCGTTGAATGCCACCGACCTCTTTTGCACCATTGTAATAAAGAAATATGTTCTTCATCACATTTGTAATTGGGGCAGACCAGATGGCGAAGGCTTTGTTTAATGAAATATGTCCATTCAATTAACCCACGCCACTGGTGAATCAGCACTTCCAAAGGAATCAGTGTCTAGTCACTGTATCAGGGCGCTCCTATAGACATCCCAGCAACTGTGAGGAAGGCCGGGGCATTAGGGACAGGGCGTGGCAACTCAGGCCTGGGCCTTTGCATTTATGTTTCTAGCTGTCTCTCCATTTTTGTGAGTGTTTTCTTTTGTGCTGGGTGCCTGCATAGTGTGATAGGAAACACAAGGAGCAACCAGACAGCCACCACCAGCTTCCCCAGGGCTGGAGCAGGCATTAGGTGACGATAGGGAGGTTAAGGCAGTAGCTGAAGTCAAGGTAGCAGGGTGGACACCATGGCCTAATGGATAAGGCATCAGCCTCTGACTCATGGGGCTGTGGGTTCATAGACCTATCCTGGGAGCAGGCAGGCAGTCACCACCAGCTCCCCAGGGCAAGGAGCTGGCATCAACTGACAGTAGGAAGATGTGTCCCTGCCCTATGGGCAGCTATCACCACATCCTCTCCTCCAAATCTGGGCCAGGCCAGGGCAACATGGAGCCAAGCTGTGACGTTGGCTCATGCACCCAGCCCCTCCTCCTTCCTGCACTAGGAAGAACCAGACAGTGGAGGGAAGGACTGGGGTCCAGCATGACCTGGGCATGTTGGAGGATTGGGCCAAAAGAAATCTGATGAGGTTCGACAAGGACAAGTGTAGAGTCCAGAGAGCTGTGGCAACCAGGGAAGAGGCCGTTGTGGCAGCTCCATGCACAGCAGAGCTGAGCCCCTATGTGGAGCTTGCTGGGGCAGCTTAGAGGGAATGTTGCTTGAAAGCCTGGCTCAACAAGACCAGATAAAAGGGGAGCGAAGGCAGGCTCAGTGGTATCATAAATATCCAAGTGCACCTGGTCTCTTGCTTAGAAAACCAGTTGTTTTTGCAGTCACAGAACACGTCCTTGCTTAGCCACATTTGATGTTCAGCAGCATTTGAGTTTTCTTCCCTGGGACAACCCAAAAACAGCATATGGGAAGCAGTAAGGCCCAGTGGACATAGCAGGGTAGTCAGGAGACCTGGGATGAATGCTTGCCTCTGCCCCTGGTCTGCTGGCAAATCATGCCCCTTCTCTGGGAGTCAGTTTCCCCATCTGTAAAATGGGCATAGCCATACTGACCTGCTGTGTGCAGTATGGAGGTAAAGCACTAACTAAAGATTCCCTACAGGCTTACCACAGACTGAGACCAAGAATGGAAAGTTTGAGCTCCAAAGAAGAATTTGTTTAGAAACTTAAGCAATAAAAGCAAGAGGTAAAAAACAAGATACCTTGCAACCGTGCCAAAAGCCAGTCCTCCTGAGAAAGTCTAAACTAATAAACTGTCAGCGCAGTTCTCAAGAACAATCCGATATCATCAAAACAACTTGCACCCCTGTGGGGGAATAAAACAAGCAGAAGGATCCAAGTTTTCAATTTTGGGGTTTTCATGACATGCAACCAGA